AATTGCTACAAAAAGAATAAAATACCTTGGAATACAACTCACAAGGAACGTAAGGGACCTCTTCAAGGAGAACTACAAACCACTGCTCAACGAAATCAGAGAGGACACAAACAGATGGAGAAACATTCCATGTTCATGGTTAGGAAGAATTAACATCGTGAAAATGGCTATACTGCCCAAAGTAATTTACAGAATCAATGCTATCCCCAACAAGCTACCATCGACTTTCTTTACAGAACTGGAAAAAACCACCATGAACTTCATATGGAACCAAAAGAGAGCCCGCATAGCCAAGTCAATTGTAAGCAAAAAGAACTCAGCGGGGGGCATCACACTACCGGATTTCAAACTATACTACAAGGCTACAGTAATCAAAACAGCATGGTACTGGTACCAAAACAGAGATATAGACCAATGGAACAGAACAGAGGCACCGGAGGCAACACAACATATCTACAACTATACAATCTTTGATAAACCTGACAAAAACAAGCAATGGGGAAAGGATTCCCTGTTTAACAAATGGTATTGGGAAAACTGGCTAGCCATGTGCAGAAAGCAGAAACTGGACCCCTTCCTGACACCTTACACTAAAATTAACTCCAGATGGATTAAAGACTTAAACATAAGACTTGGCACGATAAAAACCCTAGAAGGAAATCTAGGCAAAACTATCCAGGACATAGGAGTAGGCAAGGACTTCATGACGAAAACACCAAAAGCATTGGCAACAAAAGCCAAAATAGACAAATGGGACCTAATGAAACTCCACAGCTTCTGCACGGCAAAAGAAACAGTCACTAGCGTGGATCGGCAACCAACAGAATGGGAAAAAATTTTTGCAGTTTACCCATCTGACAAAGGGCTGATATCCAGAATTTACAAAGAACTCAAACGGATTTACAGGATAAAAACAAACAAGCCCATTCAAAAGTGGGCAAAGGATATGAACAGACACTTTACGAAAGAAGACATATATGAGGCCAACAATCATATGAAAAAATGCTCATCATCACTGGTCATCAGAGAGATGCAAATCAAAACCACATTGAGATACCATCTCACGTCAGTTAGAATGGCGATCATTAAAAAATCTGGAGACAACAGATGCTGGAGAGGATGTGGAGAAAAAGGAACACTTTTACACTGTTGGTGGGAGTGTAAATTAGTTCAACCATTGTGGAAGACAGTGTGGCGATTCCTCAAGGCCTTAGAAATAGAAATTCCATTTGACCCAGCAATCCCATTACTGGGTATATATCCAAAAGACTATAAATCGTTCTACTATAAGGACACATGTACACGAATGTTCATTGCAGCACTGTTTACAATAGCAAAGACCTGGAATCAACCCAAATGCCCATTGATAATAGACTGGATTGGAAAAATGTGGCACATATACACCATGGAATATTATGCAGCAATCAGAAATGATGAGTTTGTGTCGTTTGTAGGGACATGGATGAATCTGGAGAACGTCATCCTCAGCAAACTGACACAAGAACAGAAAATGAAACACCGCATATTCTCACTCATAGGCGGGTGATGAAAAATGAGAACACATGGACACAGAAAGGGGAGTACTAAACACTGGGGTCTATTGGGGGGAAAAGGGGAGGGCCAGTGGGAGGGGGAGGTGGGGAGGGATAGCCTGGGGAGAAATGCCAAATATGGGTGAAGGGGAGAAGGAAAGCAAAGCACACTGCCACGTGTGTTTCTACGCAACTGTCTTGCATGCTTTGCTCATGTACCCCAAAACCTAAAATCCAATAAAAAATTAAAAAAAAAAAAAAAAAAAGAATGTTGAATATTGGCCCCCACTCTCTTCTGACTTGTAGGGTTTCTGCTGAGAGATCCGCTGTGAGTCTGAGGGGCCTCCCTTTGTGTGTAATCCGACCTTTCTCTCTGGCTTCCCATAGCATTTTCTCCTGCATTTCAACCCTGGCGAATCTGATGATTTCGTGCCTTGGGGTTGCTCTTCTTGAGGAATATCTTTGTGGTGTTCTCTGTATTTCCTGGACTTGAATATTGGCCTGCCTTGCTAGGTTGAAGAAGTTTTCCTGGATAATATCCTGAAGAGTATTTTCCAGCTTGGATTCATTGTCCCCATCACTTTCAGGTACACCTATCAAATGTAGATTTGGTCTTTTCACATAATCCCGTATTTCTTGGAGGCTTTGTTCATTTCTTTTTACTCATTTTTCTCTAATCTTGCCTTTTCACTTTATTTCATTGAGTTGATCTTCAACCTCTGATATCCTTTCTTCTGCTTGATCAATTTGGCTTTGGAAACTTGTGTACGCTTCACGAAGTTCTCGTGCTGTGTTTTTCAGTTCTATCAAGCCATTTATGTTCTTCTCCAAGCTGATTACTCTCGTTAGCATTTCGTCAAACCTTTTTTCAAGGTTGTTTCTTTGCATGGGGTTAGAGCATGTTCTTTTAGCTCAGAGATATTTGTTATTACCCACTGTCTGAAGCCTGTTTCTGTCAATTCATCAGACTCATCCTCCATCCAGCCTTGCTCTCTTGCTGGTGAGAAGTTGTGATCCCTTAGAGGAGGAGTGGCCTTCTGGTTTTGGGTGTTTTCATCCCTTTTGCACTGGTTTCTTCCCATCTTCAGGGATTTACTTACCTTTGGTCTTTGAAGTTGTTGACTTTCGGGTGGGGTCTCTGAGTGGACATCCTTTCTGTTGATGTCAAAGCTATTTCTTTTTGTTATTTAGTTTTCCTTCTAACAGTCAGGCCCCTCGGCTCTAGGATTGGTGGAGGTCTACTCTAGGCTTTGCTTGCCTGGGAATCACCTACTGGGGCTGCGGAGCAGTGAGGATTGCTGCCTGATCTTTCCTCTAATAGTTTGGTCCCAGAAGAATCTGCCAGGTGTCAGCCAGAGCTGTCCTATATGAGGCATTTTTTCGTTATTCAGGGGTCAGGGAGCTGCTTGAAGAGGCAATCTGTCCCTTGTCTGCCTGCAGAGGTGCTGCTGGGCTGGCTGGGACTCAGCCTTGCTACTGTGTAGGCTTCTTCTGGCTCTTGTTTACACAATTGAGATTAGACCCACTTTTACAACTGCTGACGGCCTTTCCCTCACTGAACTCGATCATCCCAGGTTTAGCTCATACTGATGTGCTGGCTGCAAAACTCTCAATTGAGAGGACTTCAGTTTCCTGGTCTTTGTTGGGGTAGGACCTGTGAAGCCATATCACCTGTCTTCTTGCTTTCAGCTCTCCCTCTTTCTGGGGGTGGGGGGTAAGATCTGTCCTGTAGGTGCTTTCGGCACTAGTCAAAACTTCTGCCCAGATCCGTGCCAATAACTTGTGGCACTGGTCTGGCTGGAGCTGTCCCTCAGTTCTGTGTTGGTAACTCATGGAGCTTTTCAGCCTGGCGTTTTTCTCCTGGACTGCAGGTTGGAAAGGCCAAAGGAGAAGCACAGTATCTGAACTGGAGTACAGAGTGGGTAAAGTCCCCAGTCCTCAGGCCTGTTGCATTTCCTGGGCAGAGCACTGCCCTGACCTGCCTCGGTTTGCCCTCCTTGGCTACACTCACTGTCCAACCAGTCCCATTGAAATGAATTTGGTACCTCAGTTGGAAATGTGGAGATCACTTGCCTTCTGTGTCTCTCTCACTGGAATCTGCTCCAGACTTGTTTCTATTTGGCCATCTTGGGGGAAGTCAATCTGATTAATTATTTAGGAAGTAAAAATCTTGAACATGTCACTGGCAGTGGTGGCTCTGGCAGGGTACATCCCTCTTTCTTAAAAAGCTAGTCTTTATTCCAAGACTAAATCTACCATACAAAATTCTTTCTCATATAAAATTATTTCTCTTTAAGCTTTCTTACCAAAAAAAGCCAATTTATTTTTATAACTATTTTTACATCTCTCTTATTTTCTGGTTCCTTTTACCTTGTTTTATACATAACCTTTAAATAAGCTTTGAGGCCAGGCATGAGGTCAGGAGTTCCAAAGCAGCCTGGCCAACATGGTGAAATCCTGTGTCTATTAAAATACAAAAATTAGCCAGGTGTGGTAGCACACACCTGTAATCCCAGCTACTCAAGAGGCTAAGGCAGGAGAATCACTTGAACCTGGGAGGTGGAGGGTGCAGTGAGCCAAGATCACGCCACTGCACTCCACCCTGGGTGATAGAGTGAGACTCTGTCTTGGAAAAAATAAAGAATTGTGAATTAGACAAAAAAATTTTCACCTTTTTCAAAAAGGACACACCTTCTTTTTTAGAAAGAATGTTTTTCTACAAATATATTTTGTTGGAAAATATCAAAATAATGAAATACCTTTTGTTTAATTTAACTTAACTTTAGTTTCTAAATTATGACAAGTTTGTCTACAAGTATTTATCCCATTACATTTACCTATTTATATTATTTTAATCATTTACCTTGATTATTTAAAGTTATGAAATGACCATTGCAAAATTGTAACTGAGACAGTGAAAAAGATTTGACGTAACCGACTCCATCTTGCTTCTAACAACCAAGCTGTCCTTGTTCATTCCTGGGCAACTTTGGGAGGAACTTAGTTTATAGTTTAGCTTTGAAACAAAGATGATACCAGTTCCTTCCCCAAACAAAGCTTACTGCCTGCAGACTAGACCTCCTAAAGCTACAAGATTAGCAGTTATGGTAATCTTACTAGATTCAAGATGTACCCATTTTCATTAAACCAGTATCATGATCTTATTTATTAAAGATTACATGGCAGGGATCATTCTTTCTTGAGCTGTGTTTGTAGATTTGTAACCCCTATGCCAAATTTTGACACCTTATAGTATTTAGCAGGGATAAGTATGAAATGGCTTAATTAGTAAATGCAAACAATGTATGCTGGAAATTCTTAAGACATATTCTAATATTATTATACTTTACCGATAATTTAAAAACTAGCTTATTTATTAAAGATTTTAGTTAAGTCGCATAAACTTGAAAAAGCATTTGACTAGTCTCTTCTTTTTTTCACATAAAGTATTTAATTCAAGTGCTTTTATTTTCTTGTGCCCATTAATTAGAGCTTTTAAAAGTATATTTTCAGTAGTGAAACATTGTGTACACAACTCACAAATACCTAGACATATGAGGCATGCCGTTAGCAGTACATCTTATGGGTTCAGCTTTACAAGTAGCAGGATACATTCTTGGCTGAGTGAAGCAAAAGCTGATAGGTCAGGTCTTCTGACACCTGAGTAAGGGGTTGTGGATCAGTTTATTTGGAAGTAAATGGCCCTTCAAAAGCCACTGCTGGGTGTCAATTGACCTAGGCAAAGATCTGTTAATGCTCCTGCATCACAAAAGAAGAGTTAAATTGTCCATTTAAGAAGGCAGAGATACAAAAATTTTAGGATTTTGCTCAAAAAGTTGTTAAATGATAAGTTTTATTTTCTTACAAATATTGCTTGTTTGGAATGTTTTATTCCTGTTTTAAATTAAAATTTTTTCTCAAGTTTTTTCATCTGATGTTATATTATGCTTTTTGTTTGCATGAATGTAGAAATATTATGTCCCAAATACTAGGATAGATCTGATAAAATAAGTGCTCACTTTTTGGTTAACTGAATGTATACTTTAATTTTGAATTTCAGTTTTTGGTTTTACCATTACTCAGCAGCTCTGAAGCCCAGTGGAGACAAAGCTAGACTATTATATAGTGATTACAGCTCAAGAACCATTTCCAGTTCAGAGGTGACATTGTTTGGAATGTTCGCCGCACAGCTAGCACATGTGCCCATTTCTCATGAGGATAAATGATTTTAAAAGGATGTTTATTCATGTATTCAAATACATCAGTTAAAATAGCATTCATTTTCAAACCAGTAGTGTATATGATTATAACGTACACTTTCTTTAGTGGAGTAAAAGAGCTAAAAGTTGTTTGACACATTCAGATATAACAAAAATGATAAGTTACAGATTATTTTATCAAATATTCATGTTCAATTCTATTACAGGCCTTGATATAAACATCTAACTCTAGGAACAAATAGGCAACACAAATATGCCATTACTTTGTGAGGCAAATATTATTTTTCTTAATTATGAAATTAATATGTATTTTTAAAGCTGACATTGAAAAATTATCAGCATAAAAAACTGACTTATAAGGTCACTAGTTATAATTATCTCTCTTTCGAACTTATCATATATTACCTATTTTAAAATTAAATTAGGGTCAACTTGCATTAATATGAACATATTATGTTCAAACTCCATTGAAAATACTGTAATGTTCTTAATTATGAAGTTAAAAAAATGGATAGATAACTTGAATGCTTAGAAAAATAATTGGTGTGTAAACTATGTCCAGGAAAAAAAATGGACACTTTTGAAAGCTTCCATTCCTTCCTGTGATGCTTTGAGCATTATGAAGAATTGCAAATAGTTCATCCTTGTAACACCTTTTCATTCCCATGTTTGAGGCTTAAGCTATTGGTGTTTCCTTTCAGTTTCAGTCTGAAGTTCATTTGCATTCTTTCTCCCTTTGAAAGAAGCCATGCAAGTGTACACTCCAAGGTAGTCACAAAAGGCAATAAATATTTTTGGAGACATTATTCTAGGAGAAAAGCAGAGAAAAAATTATAATCTTTTCAGAAGAGTAAAATTAACTACTTTGCAAAGAGTAAGTGCAAATTATACAAAGTTTAAAATGTCACTTAATGGGAGGGCTGAAGAGAATAGTTCTATGTCACATCCAAGTGCCATCACCATCCTCAACGCCAGTGGCTCTTGGCCCTGGCTACACCTTGGAATCACTGGAGCTCTGAAAAGCCCCAATGTTCAGGCCACACTTTATCTCTATATAACATCCCTTGAGTTCTGTGGAAAGACTACATATATCCTTATTTACGAGACTAACAAAATCTAGAAAGAAAACTGGACCAGTTAAAGCAGAATCTCTGGAGGGTAGGGACCAGGAATCCGTGGTTTTAAATATTCCCTTGGTAATTACAATGTGCATCCAAGATGAAGAACCATTGTTTTAGTTCTTTGAGGATAGAGGCTGTATCTTCAGCTCAGTTTTGCTCAATTCAACTTGATGTGGCAAATATTTATGGCATGCTAATTACACATTAGGTATTGTCCTAGGCTGAGGCAAGGAGCAGGAAACAATTCGGACAATATTTTTTGTCCTCAGGAAGCATGAAAGGTAGTAAGTAACTACAGGTGTGATGAGTGTGCCAAAAACCAGGGTCAGCTGTGATGGAATGTACACTGAGGGACCTAGCTAAGCAATCAGGGTAGCTAAGGTTGCATAGGAAATACATTGGATAGATATAAATAGTCAGGAAAGTACTGTGTTTATCAATAACATAATTTTGTAATAGTGAATCTCTGCTTGTGCTTTCTACTCTGCTAGTTCTTATAGCAGAGGAGGAGTATTTCCTGAGGGTAGGAACTTAAGCTCTGTAATCAAATTGGAAATTTAGGTTTGAAACTTTGTTGTAGCATATATTAGTTGTTTAACCCTGCAAAAATTACTGTCTTTAAACCTCAGATTTCCTCAATTGATAAAATTCACAAAAAGCGATCAGCACAGTAGCTGGCAGGTAGTAGTCACCCCATAAATGCTAGATGTGGACCTGGGTGGAAACCATGAACAAATACCTGAAAGTCACAGCACAGGCCTTGTATGAAGTTGCCAGAGCTATTTCACAAAATAAAATGAAGAACTTGTAAAATATTCTTAATATATTTTTTCTAGCAACACGCTTGTGTTTTTTGTCCTTTGTTTTCAAAGTAGAGCTCTACGCTAATCAAACTAGTTGATGAAAACCAAAAATATAGAAAAAAACCAAAAATCCCCAAATAATTTGTGTTACTTGTGTTAAAACAAAATAATGTGTGTTCTGCAAGACCTAAATAATTGTTCAATTTAGTCAGTGTCTGAAGCAACCAAGACACAGCGATAGTTCGATAAGTTGTTTCTGCACTATTAAGATTCTTCCTCTTACCATTAAAAAATACATAAAGTTGCTTTCCATGCAAAAGAGGTAGCCGTGTTTGGACAATATGTTCACAATAACCAGAATGATAGTGAGGCCATTATTAACTTACTGTTTAAGAATCAATGCGATATATAAAAATTTGGGTATCAATAAATAAACTTGTTCCTCCAAAATAGCATTTACAATTTTTTTGGCCACATACTCCTGCTCCAGAATTGGTAACAGAAACGGATACCTGGAATAACAATAACAAATAGTGATATCAGCAAAATGGTATTTTCATTGTCATCATAGGGCATTGATCATTAAATTTCAGATATGGAACTGTAAGATACAGCTGTAAATACTGAAACAAAATGTAAATCTTAGGAACTGCCTTGTGTTTTCTCTTATGATCAGTGTTGGGACCATTGCTAATATATTTAATTTCCTGGAGTGAACTTCCTGCTTTGGTGATTTTCTGCTGTGTGATAGTCTAAACAGATGGAAGTAATTGCTTGTAGATTTTTTCTTTCTACCCTCTCTGTTCCTCTCAAACATCAAATAGGCATATACTATTAAGAAGCAAAATTGCAGCCAGTTGGTAATCCCAGCACTTTGGGAGGCTGAGACAGGTGGATCACTTGAGGTCAGGAGTTTGAGACCAGCCTGGCCAACATGGTGAAACCCCGTTTCTACTAAAAATACAAAAATTAGCCAGGTGTGGTGGCCCATGCCTATAATCCCTTGGGAGGCTACGGCAGGAGAATCACTTGAACTCAGGAAGTAGAGGTTGCAGTAAGCAGAGATTGTGTCACTGCACTCCAGCCTGGGTGACAGAGTGAGATTCATCTTAAAAAAAAAAAAAAAAGAAAGCAAAATAGCAAACTTATCTTACCAAAAAGTCTCTTAAACATGTGTAATGTATCATTTTAGGTAGATCATTGTTACAACATTAAACAGAAATAGATGTTTCTGAAATCAGTAGTTGAAATGGATCAGGATATAAATAAATGTCACCTAAGTTATTACTTTGATATTTTATACTTTTATATTATTCTGCTTAATTAGTTGAACCCACATCCCCCTCAAAAAATTCTGATTATCTCAGCTGATTTTGGGAGTCTGATCAATTTTCCACAATTGAATGTTGACAGTTAGTCTTTATATTTCATTCTCCTAAATGTTTTTCAGAAATATGGCCTAAAGGGCTCCAGTGGTTATTTAAAAATAGAATCTACAGATCATTGTTTAATTCTCTACCATTTTAGGATTGTGAATCTTTCTTCTTCTGGAGACTTTCATTGTTATGTTTGTTTATCTAAGGACATCAATTTTATAAAAGTTATCATTTATCATCACTGCCTTCTCTGGGTACCATGCTCCCTTATCCTGGATGGTCATATTCTTTCTGTGATCTTAACACTCTAGCTTTTAATAAGACTTCATCACATATTATCAATTCTTACTAATATTATTTTAATAATAATGTTAGAAACAAAGTAAAGAAAATAACCTAAAAATGTATATAGAGTATACTTATATTAGCTATAACTATGTATATACCTAGGCATGTTTATTATAAATGCTACTTATATAAAACATGTATAGTACATGATTTACTAAGAATAATAAAATATGCATTACTTTTTGTTATAAATTCCATATAATCAATTACTTTTCACAGAATGCTTTTATTGAGTTTTGTTGAATTCTTGCATCACATGTATTCTGTTGCACGGATATGACGCAGTTTGGTTAACCGTTCATCAGTTGATGGATAGTTGGATTGTTTTCACTTTTTAGCTGTTATGAATAATGCTGTGTGAACATTTATGTACAAGTTTTTGTGGGGACATGTGTTTTCATTTCTCTTGGATATATACCTAGGAGTGGAATTGCTAGGCCATGTAGTAATTCTATGTTTAACATTTTGAGGAACTATCTTAACAATATTAAGTCTTCCAATCCATGAACATGGGATTTATTTTTATTTAAGTCTTCTTTAACCTCTTTTGAAGATGTTTTGTAATTTTCATAGGATAAGTTTTGCACTTTTTTGTTAAATTTACTCCTAAGTATTTTATTATTTTTGATACTGTTGTTAAATGGACTTATTTTGCTAATTTCATTTTTGGATTGTTCATTTCAGATGTATGGAAATACAATTGAGTTTTGTACATTGATTTTGAATATTTGTCTTTTGCTGAATTCATTTTGTAGATGTAATTGTGTGTGTGTGCATGTGTATTCTTCAGGATTTTCTATATACAAGATCATGTCATCTGAAAATACAGTTTTGCTCCTTTTCTTCCAATCCAAATACCTTTTATTTTATATTTTGTCTAAATGTTCCATTGAACAGGAGTTGAATCAGAGTGGTAAATGTGGATAGACTTGTCTTATTCTTGATCTTGGGTGAAAGCATTCAATCTTTCAGCATTAAATATGATGTCAGCTATGGGTTTTTCATAGATGCTGCTTATCAAGTTGTGGACGTTTCCTTTTATTTCTACTTTCTTGGTGTTTTTATCATGAAAGTGTGCTGGATTTTGTCTAATGCTTTTTCTGTGTGTTTTGAGATGATCATGCAGCTTTTGTTCTTTGTTCTACTGATATGACGTACTGTATTAAATTCTTTTTAAATATTAACCCAATCTTACATTTCCAGGATAAATCCTATTTGATCATGATGTATTAATATGATAGGTTGCTGGATTCAGTTTGCTGGTATTTTATTGAGAATTTTTGTATTTATATTCATAATAGGTATTGATCTTTGGTTTTATTTTCTTGCGATGTCTCTGTGTAGTTTGGTTTTATTTTCTTGTGATGTCTCTGCCCTCATAGAGCGAGTTGGGAAGTGGTCAGTCCTCTTCTATTTTTTTTATAAGTTATAAAAATATTGGTAGCCATTCTTTTTGAAAAGTTTTATAGAATTTTCCATGAAGCCCTCTGGATCTGGGATTTTTCTTGTGGGATTTTTTTTTTTTTAGTTTACTAATTTAAATCTTTGTTTTAAGTCTATTCCGATGTTTTTTCCCTCTGAAGTCAGTTTTGTTAGTTTGTGTCTCTCTAGAAATTATTCAATTTCATCTAAGTTATCTAGTTTCTTGGAATGTAATTTTTTGTAGTATTTCCTTATAGTCCTCTTCCTTTCTGTAATGTCACCAGTAGTGATGTCCTCTTTTTTATTCCTGATTTTATTAGTTTGAGACTTCTCTGTTTTTTCTTTCTTGGTCAGTCTAGCTAAAGTTTTGCTAATTTTGTTGATCATTAATGTTGTGTTTTTCTCCGGTTCTCCATTCTCTATTTCATATATTTCTGCTACAATTATTATTTATGCTTGATTCGAATTTAGGGTGCTCTTTTTTATAGTTTCTTAAGGTAGAAGATTATTTGTTTATTTAAAAATGTTTTTTATTTTTAAATAAATTTTTCTCTAAGCACAGCTTTAGTCATATTTCCACGTATTTGTAAATTTCTCAAAATTTCTTCTGTTTTTCATTTCTAATTTTATTTTGTTTGAAGAATATACTTTGCATGATTTTATTCCTTTCAAATTTATGAATGGTTGTTTTATGGCTCAGCCTACAGTCTATCTCAGAGACTGGGTCATGTGTGCTTGAGAAGAACGTGTGTTCTGCTGTTGTTGGGTGGAGCATTCTACAGATGTCTATGAAGCATAAGGAGCTTGTAACGCTCTATGCCCTTTGATCACAGGGACATCCTTTAATCATTTTTTTCTGAGATGGGGTTTTGTTCTGTTGCTCAGGCTGGTGTACAGCGGCACAATCACAGTTCGTTGCAGACTGGACTTCCAGGGCTCAAGCCGTCCTCCCACTTTAGCCTCCTGAGTAGCTGGGAACTACAGGCATGGAACACCATGCCTGACTAAGATATATATGTATATTTTAGAGACAAGGTCTTACCATGTTGCCCAGACTGGTCTCAAACTCCTGGGCTCAAGCAATCTTCTTGCCTCAGCCTCCCAATGTATGAGGATTATAGGCATGAGCCATTGTGCCCAGCTGATAATTTCTAAAATTATATTTTTTTCTGGGGCACATAATATGCATGTTTACCCATCAGAACCAATTTCATATTTATACTCTCTTAATTTTAGTGAGATGTAGGAACTTTACCCCTATATAGCTGTATTGCCTCTCCCACTTTTATGCTATTGTATACATATTACAGCTATATATGTTACAAACACAATGATACATTATTATAGTTAATACTTTATAAGTTTTATGTTTCAAAGAAGCTGAGAGAATGAAGGAGAACAAGTATATGTTTATAGGGTTTGTCGTGTCAACCTTCTTCATTTCTGGTTCTCTTCATCTCTTCCTGTGCATCTGAGTTACCATCTGGTGTCATTTACTTACTTCAATACAACTTTGTCCCCACTCACCTCCTTTGTACTCTTATTGTCAAAAATATTATGATTCTATATGGGGTAGGCCCAATAAAACTATTATAAAATTTGTATTTTAATCAATGAAGTGAGGGAAAAGAAATATGCATTTATACTGTCTTTTAAAAATTACCTACTTTGTCACCTTTACTGTCACTCTGTTTATTTCATGTGGATTCAGATTACTCTCAGGAGTCACTTTTTTCATCCTGAAGAATTTCCATTAGTATTTCCTGTGAGGTGGTATACTAAGCAACAAATTATCTGTTTCGGTTTGCCTTCCTTTTACCTTCATTTTTGAAAGAGACTTTTTGCTGGATATAAGATTCTTGGTTGATAATTTCCCCCCCAGTACTTTGCATGTTATCACACTGCCTTTTTGCTTCCATTATTTCTGTTGAGGCATCAGTCATTAATCACAATAACCTTTTGTTGCTTTCAAGATATAGCTTTGTTTGTGTCTTTTGACATTTTGACTATGATATGTCTGGTTTTGGAACCCTTTGTGTCTATCCTACTTGGAGTTAATTGAGTTTCTTAAATATGTAAATTAATGTTTTTCATCAAATTTAGGAAGCTTTTAGCCATTGCTTCTTTGAATATTTTTTTCTGCTCCTTTCTCTATATATTATTATTTATTTATTTTTATATAGAGTCTTGCTCTGTTGCCTGGGCTAGAGTGCAGTGGCACAATCTTGGCTCACTGCAACCTTCACCTCCCAGGTTCAAGTGATTCTCCTGCCTCAGCCCCCCAAGTAGTTGGGACTACAGGCAAACACCACCATGCCCAGCTAATTTTTTGTACCTTTAGTAGAGACGGGGTTTCACCATGTTGACCAGGATGGTCTCGATCTCTTGACCTCGTGATCCACCCGCCTCGGCCTCCCAAAGTGCTGGGATTACAGGCTTGAGCCACCGCACCCGGCCACACCCAACTCTTAACCTCCACAATTTGCTAGCTGGTTGTCCTGTTCTTTTTGTATTCTGATTAATGGTCTTACCCAATTGAAGTCAGGTCCTGTGGCAGAAGCAGAGAGATACAAGTTTTTGAGGAGACTTTGACACTCACCTGGCACCGGGTTACTCTATGCTGTGGAGTAGGAGATCAGGGTGATATAAAACTTACTCTTCCATGGCTACTTTACCCAAATTGTCCGTATCAATCAGGATGTGAGGGTCAGAGGTGGAGATGACAGGAACTACACTGGCAATCAGCTACTACCACTAACCTGTATGGATATTCCACAGCCTAGACCTAGAAGAAAGGGATCTGCTAATATTCATTGCCTAGGAAATCTACCCAAAACAAGTATCCTGGAATTTGGGGAAGATGGAACCTGACACTTGGCTGCTGAGCTTTCTGGAGCAGTCTGTCACAACAAAGAGCTGTTCTGGGAAAGGAACTGCCTTCTTCACCAAGAGCCCCTCTCTGGACTTTCCCTTCACAAAATGATCAAGCACTCTCTGGCTGAGGTTATCTATGCAATACAGGTCTTCTACTGCATGGGGCTGTCAAAAATAGGATTTGCTCATGTTCTACCAGCTATCAAACTACCCAGAATAGCCCTTTCACCCCCAGAAAGGGTGGAAGAACTGTCACTTGGTTGTCAAGTCTGCTGAAACATTATCCCACAGGGCAAGAGGGATAATCCCAAGCCCCAGTGCTGTGGTCTTTTAGTGTTCTTATTGACTTTCCATACATTGTATTCAACAAATGCTTCTTGAGTTTTTGCATGCCCTTTGATCACTCTTCAGAGATTTTATTTTATTTTATTGAGACAGAATCTTACTCTGTCACCCAGGTTGGAGTGCAGTAGTGTGATCCTGGCTCACTGCAACCTCCATCTCCTGGGTTCAAGTGATTCTCATGCCTCAGCCTCCAGAATAGCTGGGATTACAGACATGTGCCATGATGCCTGGCTAGTTTTTATATTTTTAGTAAAGACAGGGTTTCACCATGTTGGCTAGGCTGGTCTCAAACTCTTGACCTCAGGTGACCCACCCACCTTGGCCTCCCAAAGTGCTGGGATTACAGGCGTGAGCCACTGCACACAGCCAATCTCTAGAAATTTTAAATGATTGTCTTTGCTAATTTTGACAAGCTTAATAGATGTCTCTTTGGGGAGACATTTCCCCTCTACACTTTGTCAACTCTTGATCACTTGTTGGAACTCTATTTAATTTTAAAGCTTCACTGGACTAAATAGTTTCATTGCCTCTTAGCGAGCCTTTTTGTTGGCTGTCTCTATGTCTCACAAATATAGCTGATTCATGTGATTTGGATTGTGTCAGTCTCTTTTTTAATGATTGTAGTCACTATACTTGTCCTTGCATCAAGTTTACGCTTTTCAATATACTCATTGACTGGTTCCCTATGTAAAAGCTCTCATATTATATTTGCATTCTAGTTTGGACTGTTTTAATTTAACCTTCATACCAAAATGTCACTCTGCAATACTTCCGCCATGTATTAATCAATTTTATAAAATACTTTATTTTTGAGGTTATTTATACCTTTGTATTCCCTTTAGGAAAAAGTTATCTTCTCAATACTACAAAGCTAAATATTTTCAAAGTTCTCAGTATTAATTTCTCTGTTATATTTTAATATACTGATTCGTATTTTAAGTTTAAATTTTTGCTATACCACAAGCTTCATAACTATATTATTGTCTTTAAATTGGATAAATTAAGAAATTTCATGCATATTGAAGTTTTCTTTTACTAAATTAGTCATTCAAATTGCTTCTATTGTTTCATTTTCCATGTTTCAGAACTTGGCAATGATCAGATGATGACATATACCGGAAGATTATGTTAAGGCAAGTGTTACTTTAAGAGCTAACTTACTTGGTCGTACAGCCCTCAAACATTCCCGTGTTGATGAAATGTGGGCAAACGATGGTGGTTTTAATCCCAGTTTTCTTTAGAATAGTTAATTCAAGAAAGAGAGATTCGGCAAAGCCAAAGGCTGCAAATTTACTTGCAGAATAATCTGAAACAGAGTGAGAAACTATTAGTAATAGAGCCTGACGAGTTAATTCTTGGAATTTTTTAAAACTTGAATCGCCTTCCTCTTTCTCTGGCTTGTCCTCGGGGACAAAGCATTCCTGTCAGAGCCAATTGATGTGGCCAAGCACTCCACTCCGCACTCTTTACCCAACAAAAAGATGGAAATCATATCAGTGCTTTCTAACCCAAGAAGACCTGTAAGCCAATAGGCATATTCATTTTTTTTTGAAAAGAATGAATTTCTATCTCCTTCTGGAAATAGAAAAGAATGCTGGCATTATAAATAGAGCCAAATATTCTAGAGGTTTCCCCTTGGTGCAGGAAGAGCTTCTATCTATCTTGGAAGAGTCCTCATTTCTGAGTTCTGTGGCACATGGTGAAACAAGGTACTCACCTGATAGTCCATTAATACCAGCTAGTCCTGCTACACTTGAAATACAAACCAGGTGCCCATGGTTTGTTCTAATCATGGCAGGAAGGAAGGCCTTATAAGTCTGGAAGGTATAAATGCATTTTGTCAATGTTTCATTTATTTATTACTATATTTGCTTTATATTTGATAAATTTACTAATTTAGAAAATATTTATTTAACACCATAATGTGTTACCTCCTGTGGCAGTAGAAAAGTAGGTACCATATAATCATTGTTTCAATGAGATTAAAGGTTATTATATGCTAATCTGTATTATTTGATTTTTTTTCTTTTGAAATAAACTATACTAATTGAATCAAATGAATCTTTTATATTTGTGCTTGGCTAGAAATATTAAAACCTAGTTTTTTAGGTATGCTGAACTTTTCTATGTAGATTTTAGCAATTTATATTAAAATTTATTACATTTACCTTCCTGGCTTTACCCTAAACAAGATCTGCCCTTGCCCTGATGGTTTAGCAGAATGGGAGGAATGGTTCAGGGAAAAGTGAATTTCACTGCAAGCTAAACACACCCTGGTAAGTAAAGCACTATCATGTCTTAGATATATTCTTATATCAGCACTCCTTTTCTCATTCGCTATGTAATTCCAAGTTTCTAATATCATCATCTTGTTGGCTGTGTTATTGTACTGGATCCCCCATAAATGAGTTCAATCTAACCTTGACAATGCTCATCATCTGTGTCTATGAGGTTTACAATGTTAACAGTTTCAGATATTTGCATTTAGAGGTTTGGAGAGACTGCCAAGATGTGCTCAGCTACAAGGGGCCAGTAGAACAGAAAGCAAGCTCTGAATCCAAGAATGAGACCTTGGTTTTTGAGATGTTCTTTATCTCAGTAACCTTGCTCCAGAGAACTAATTGACGAGTTATTGCTTAGATGTGAAAAATTGGCCTCTTTTGACATTTCCTGTCCAAGCGTGGTGACAATTTATACATCTGTGTCTTGTAGTTGCAACATTTTTTGTCTTTCAAAAATTAAATTCTGGTTGCATCAGTCATGACTGTAGGGTAAAAACAACAACAGCTGGTTATTGTCTTTCAACACAAAAGTGTAAAAGATCTGGCCGGAGGCCCAGAAGACATCTGCCCAGTGTTTGGTGGTAGACCCAGTTAGGTTTAAGGACAGGAAGCCTAGGTATGGAGGCCCAGCAGTGGCACCACTATTGGAATCTGAAAGTGTATGAAACTTTGAAGAAAGTGAAGCCGAGAAGTGCAGTTGAAGGTGTGGGCCAGTGCTACCTTTATAAGAAATCCCATAGTTGGGGGCAGTGAAACTTGCCAGAGTAAGAGAGAGAAGAAAGCAGTGGCCTATAATAGTTTGTCATACAGCTGAACACTGGTCAAATTAAAAAAAAAATGATGAGGATAGGAAGTTACCTGTTCACAGGGATGTAGCCACTTTCAGGAGTTTTGCTTTTTGAGACAGAGTCTCTGTCATCCAGGCTGGAGTGCAGTGGTGTGATCTCAGCTCACTGCAACCTTTGCTTCCTGGGTTCAAGCCATTCTCGTGCCTCAGACTCTCTAGTAGCTGGGATTAGAGGCATGAGCCACCACATCTGGCTTATTTCTGTATTTTTTGTAGAGATAGAGTTTTGCCATGTCGGCCAGGCTGGTCTCAAACTCTTGGACTCAAGTGATCCACCCACCACAACCTCCCAAGGTGTTGGGATTACAGGTGTGAGCCACTGCGCCAGGCCTGGGAGTTCAGTTTTGTTTGCTTTTCTCTACCAATTTTTTTTTTTTCCTGCAAAGGTATCTGTGTGTATTTACTTTTGACTGCGGCTGAATTTGCAGCTAGTTTCTCGTGTGTTCGACTGAGAAAAGTTCTCCCTCTTAGAGGGAAAAGGAGTAGGTAATGAAAAGCGTCTCTTCAATTTGCAGCCCTGTGTACCAGTGGAGCAGTTCTTTAGGACATTCTAGAAGATGAATTGCTCCTAGGGACCAATAACTAGTGCTCACTAGATGTATATCTATTATTAAAGGGAAGAAAAGGGAATATAAATAAGTGTTGAGTCAACAATTAGCTGCCAAAAATGTATTTTACCTTTTGGAAAATATTTTTAGTGCCTGGGAAACTAACACAGAATTCTATATGAATCTAGGTTTGCACATTACTCCTAATCAAAGTAAATCTGTGAACAAATTAGAAAATCAGATTTGTTTGATAAACAGCTGTATCCTGTTTAACATGATTTTTGTTTGATAAATAGCTATATCCTGTTAATCAGGATTTCCTGCTTTTATCACATGTGGGATGTAATGAAAACAAACATCACATTTGCTTGATTTCATTTTATTGCATTTATGTAAGACTTTTTTTTCATGGAAAAGCCAATTTAACAAACTTTCTAAAATTTTGAAAACTGGTTTATGTATGGATCAGACAGATTATCTTTGTTTCCACAAAAACATTTCTGGTTACAAAGAACACAGTATGCGTACAGTTCAGTTGAGCTGCAGTGAATGAGGACTTTACTGTGAAAGGACTGATGTTTCTGAACTTCAGTGTCGCAAGTCGCTTGCGCTTAGTTACTGCACCTGCCCTTCCTTTTATAACTTGTCAATGTCATCCCTTTGACAGTCTTTCAATATCATCAGTGATTGTGTTGCTCTGTAGTATAACTTAAATGACTTGAAGAGTTTATGATAATATTAAGTTGGTAAATTTAGGAGAAATTTTTGGTTACCAATACAATTAAAAGGAAATTAAAATTCATAGAGAAAAGGTTGAGTCACTCAGCACCATTTTAACTTGGTTGTTTTTGTAAAGCTTTAATTGAGATGGTAAATTCAATGTAGTATATACCTTAACTTTTAATATGATAAAGTTGTTTATATTGTAAAGTGATCATTGAAAGCTAAAAATAATATAGTTACATAGTGATACATATATTTTTGTGTGTTTAAGCTCATTCACAAGGATAAGAGCATATTAAAGTCCGTGAACAAAAGAAACTTAAATATGATAAAGATGATGAAACTGGTAGCTTAAAATCTCTTGGAATATTCCATTCTGTTATAAACAAGAGATATTGGAAGATTATTTTTGAGTTTTGTGTATTCTGCCCAGAGAGCATGGATTCTTACCTTGTCAAAATATACTTACTCTGAGCTCTTGGGCCCTAATTAACATTTTGTTAAATCAAATAACCAAAATTTGCCACATCTGAAAGATCTAAAACCCCTTAATAACTATACTGTGAGGTGCTGTTAGGCTTATTTAAAAATCAAAACAAAACTATTGTCACTCTGGCTCTTAAGGCGGCCAGTCACAGCTATTCCATAGTCTCTGTTTAGAAACATAAATCTATAGAGGTGTTTTTGCATTCAGAGTCATCTTTGGTACTTCTTATGTGACCAAAGCACCCATGGTCTGTTCCTTGGCCTGATTTCATCATATGGCAATGAGCAGCAGCAGGGTTGCCAGAGGAAATGAAGTATATTGGGTATGCTTCACATTTCTTAATTAGCTGAACCCTATTTAGGACCTACCCTGAAGAGATGTGGGGAAAAACTGTCAAATCCAAAAGAGAAACTCAAACTTTCCTGGGATGAATTCATTAATACAAATATATTTAATCAGAGACTGCATACTTGTCAGGACAGATGGAAAGACCCTGAGGATTTGTCAGTGCTCTTGCTATAATAAGTAACCAAATCCTTATAAAATAATTGTGTCTTACGCCCCATAGCAGTTTCCACTTTCTTAATCTGGCACTTTTAGTTATTGGAATAAATTGACTAGAGTCATTCAGTTTTGTCACTAGTAGGGAATTTCTAGTCTTCCTCTTTTTGCCTGGAGGCTTCTAATACCACACACTGGAAACTGCCTTGTGAAGACAGCGCAGGGCACACTTGGAGTTGCAGTGTGGCTGGACAATGCCGAGGAATGATTCATTGGAATGGGCTTCCCAGTGTGGGCTGACATTGCCACAGTGAGGAGGCCTCTGCAAGGTCATGTCTGGGGCTGAGCCAGGCTCACAGAACCTGTTTAGTCTAGCAGCAGATGCCTATGTGAAAGCAGACCCTGACCAGCAGCAGGCAGAACAGAATGAGTGGAATATGGCTGGGTCACAGCATCAGTGAGGGAAATTTAATGTGGCCAGAGTTCTATTTTCTGATGGGCATGTGAGCAAGCCCTTTTTCTTCTTGATGTGTTTTCAGTTCTCTCTTCAGGAAGCTATACTAATGCAAGGTGGAATGAAACTTTTTGAATGCTATCTTAGTGCAACTGATAACTCCAGAAATCAGGGAAAAATATCTTATGGGGGATCTTAGTTTAGATTATAAACTAAGTGAAGATTCAAAGGAATGTAAGGATGATAATTTTAGTACTTGAAATTTAGATAAATGTTTTCACAATAGGTTAAGCTTAGAAAAATGTACAGAATGAAATTTAACTTATTCTAATTATCGTACGTTCATATACAATCAAACTAATTTTACAGATAATATGAAAGCTATTAATTGCTCTTGTCCACAAATCTACTCAAGGCAATGGGCAGATTCTATTACAATGACTTACTGAGATCCTTCGTCTTTCATGGTGATGGGCCTATTATACACATTCAGTAAGAACCAGGCCTTCTTTTTCCAGGATATAATGAATAGCTTGGTAATGCAACCAGAGCACAGGCATGCCCATTTAAGAATAAGTTTAACTGAATCACGTCTGACACGTCTACTTTTTAGGGATGATGGTTGCTGCTCAAATCTGTCTCCTCAGGAAATTGGATTGATACCTGCTTTATAGATCACAGGCCCCCTTCCAGCCTTACAGGTAGTAAGGGAGGTCACTTCCTGGCAGACCAGGAGCCTTGGCAGGTTTGGGAGTTTGGGAGACCTCAAGAAACAAAAGCAAATCTCTTACAGAAGAACTGCAGTAAAATTTCTCCCCAGAAGTACTACTGCAGGTAGCACCTGGTGGAGACATATTTCTTGGATTTGCTTTCTTGGCCTTGGAATAGATGAGCTAGTAAGAGCAGTGGAACAAAATTTTAAAAATCTCTCTAATTCTTGAGATGAATCAAGATTCCTTCCATCATCTTCTGATGGAAGTTGATTCTCTGGTTTCAGCAGTTGCTCAGTATCATCTGTCTCTAGATTTGCTGACACACAACCAGAAACCTTATGTGTGTTCATTAATAGCTCTTACCACTACCTACATAGAGGATTCAAGGCAAACAACAGCACATACACAACATGAAGGTTCAAGTTCAGAGACTACATGAAGTTTGAGGTATGAGAAGGAACTACTATGTGAGTCAGGAGAAAGCATACTCCTGTTGGAGACAGAACGGCTTGTACAAAAACCCTCAGATGAGAAAGAGCTTGATGTTCTCTGGAGTTTAACCAGGATCCTTGGCATATAAAAAGTGAGCAGAAGGTGGAAAGAATGAGAGGTGAGAGACAGCTAAGGGAGGCCATAACAGGCAACTGTATGTTATTCTAAGTACATTTGGAAATCTCAATATTCTTAATCTGTGGAATGAGATGATTGTTTGATAAATGTGTTGAAAAGATTACCTTGCTCCCATATAAAGATGGGTTGGAAGGCACCAGTGTTGAAGGAGGAAGGCTCTGAGGAGCTGTTGGTGAGAGACGAGGAGAGCTTGACCCAGGGGCTGGTGACAGGAAGGAAAGACATGCACTTGGGCACGTAGTGCAGGGACAGCGAAGGATGCTGGTGTTGAGGGAAGGGGAGGAATCAGGATGATTTATAGATTTGTGATGTGATTGTAATGGATGTACCCTAGCTACATTTACCAAGATGACATCCTGTCTTTCTGAAGGAAATGAGGGAGGGTGGTACAGGGAAAGGAATCCATGGTTTTCACAAATGTTTCCAGAAAATGTATTATATGGCAAGCACTGTGGTAGGTGTTCACAGAGTATTGCTTAAAATAGGTTAGTGGAGGTTCCCATTAGCTTCCCAGTGACCAAGGAAGGAGACCAAGAATTAGTTCTGAGTTCCATGGAGAGTCGTATGAAAGTGTAGAGTAGACAGAGGGAGGAACCAGGAGACTGAAAGGAAGCCCATTCCAAGGTCCTATTTTCGGAGACACAGAGGACTAGACCCATACCTGTCTTCACTTCCCCATGTCTCCCAAGGCCCTGGTTTCAGCCCCTGTTCCTCCCACAGGCCCTATCTGCCGCTGATGCCTGTTCATTCCCTGGCAGCATCAAGTAGGAACCCTCTTGGTGGAAACACCTCTGGTAACTCCTCTCTCCTTCAGCCTCTACCCACTTTCTAGAGTTGCACTGACCAAGGAAGTAGCCTCTACGCATGTGTGGCTATTTAAATATGCATTTAAGGCCGGGCGCAGTGCCTCAAGGCAGTAATCCCAGCACTTTGGGAGGCCAAGGTGGGCAGATCACCTGAGGTCAGGTGTTCGAGACAAGCCTGGCCAACGTGGTGAAACCCTGTCTCTTCTAAAAATACAAAAGTTAGCTGGTTGTGGTGGTGGGTGCCTGTAGTCTGAGCTACTTAAGAGGCTGAGGCAGGAGAACTGCTTGAACCCAGGCGATGGAGGTTACAGTGAGCTGAGATCATGCCACTGTACTCCAGCCTGAGCGACAGAGAGAAACGCTGTCTCAATAAATAAATAAATAGATAGACAGATGGATATGCACTTAAATAGGTTATAGGATATAAAGTTAAAAGTTTAGTGCCTCAGTCCATTAACCACACTTCCAGTGCTCAGTAGCCACAGATGACTAGAAGCTATCATAGTGGGAAGCACAGTTGAAGAGCATTTCCACCATCAAAGACAGCCCTACTGGGCTGCATTGTGTAAACCACTCCAGGCCTCAGGAAAGACACCCCTGAATCATGAACTCCCTCATTCCCTGTCTGTAATTTTTACCTTCTCTCACACTTCTTCCTTCTGTAACCATGGGCCACCATTTACCAGTTGCCTGACCTTGGGGAGTTCACTGAAATACTTTGGGCCTCAGTTTCCTTATTTGTAAAATGAGAATGAAAACAGCATCATGGCTGCAAGTGCTCAATAATGGGTGGTGATTGTGATTCCTCCCGCCCTTAATTCCTTTATTAGAATGCCCAGTTCTGTGTGCACATAAACCACCGCTCTAAAAATAGCCCCTATCTTTGCACAAGCTCCCTTTGCTCTCATGGCCAAATTAAATCTCTCTTGTATAATTGCTGTCACTCTTGGTTTGTATTTAGGTGGGAAGATTTCTGAGCAGCTAATAATCTTGGGATCAAACTGAAGAACATAGAGGGAAGGAAATTTCTCTGATAATTTGGAATAAAACAAGATCAGGCAAAGCATAGCAAGTAAACCCAGCAAGGATTGAGACCCTACATCTTTCAATAGAAAATCTCCAAGTGGTATATTTACAGACAAATACATAAACAGGTGTTTATATGAATGCATGGAACTTTTGTACTCACCAACAAGAGAAATGATAAAGAAAGAGGTTTACCCAGAAATGAGAGATGGCATTTACAAGAAAGGATTTTTCCACCATGTCATCTGGAATATCGAGCAAGAGCTTTCCCGTGACTACACCAGCGTTGTTAATGAGGATGGTGACATCACCAACTTCTTTCCTGACCTGGCCAGAGGGAGGCAAGCATTAATTCAACTGAGGTTGCATTTTGATATTTATTTTCCCAAGTAGTGATTTCTTTTTCTCATTTTCTTCATACAGTTCATCTAAAACTAGATATTTTCATCTATGTAGAAATTCGGCAGTTTTAAGGTAAATTTATGACAAATTATCTTTTTTTTTTTTTTTTTTTTTTTTTTTTTTTTTTTTTTTTTTTTTGAGACGGAGTTTCGCTCTTGTTACCCAGGCTGGAGTGCAATGGCGCAATCTCGGCTCACCGCAACCTCCGCCCCCTGGGTTCAGGCAATTCTCCTGCCTCAGCCTCCTGAGTAGCTGGGATTACAGGCACGCACCACCGTGCCCAGCTAGACAAATTATCTTTTTTAAAAAAACAGATTTAGCCATTTTGTTGAAAGAGTCTTGATTTTTTGTGTGGAGATGGCCTGCAGCATACTGTAGCATATTTTCCCCACCTCCCATTTCTGTTAAGTGAATGCCTGTTCCTGGGTCACTAACAGCAGTGGAGTCTGAGTGACGCTGCCTCCCTGAATTTCTCAGAACTGCTCCCTGAAGATGGCCTTCAGATTGTCCCACAGCACATCCTGTTCCACAGCACAGCCACATTAGTGGGTGTCTAATGCCTACTTCTGTGGGCATCATCTCCCTTACTCCTTTGTCTCATCCCCTCAGGACTGATCAGTTTTCGGCATGAACACATCCTAAACATGGATGCCTTTGATCGGCTGCTGATGGACTTCCATATTTCTATGATCTTCTATCCAATGGACCCTGTTGAATCTAATTACTCTTTGTGACTGATACTGCCTTGAATCCCTCAGCTGTGCCACTATCTTGCCTCTTACATCCTCATTTTCCTTCACCCTCCCCTCCTAAGTTGCGTGTAAGGGTTATTGTCTTGCCAGGTTTACTGCCAAATTAAAAATGAGGCAACGAGGCCAGCACAAAAAGATTAAATGCCTATTTATTTCGCACCTAGGCAAGGTTCTGTGGTCCCAGGGAAAGAGGCCAGAGAAGTCACACCCAACTCCTCTGGGCATGAGGTTTTATAGGGAATGAAGGCGTTTGATTGGTTGTGGAGAAACAGGACATGCACGTGGCAAGCTGCTATAGGTAGGTAGGCGGGATTTCCGGACAGGGCAATGTGCTATTGGGCAGGTTTTGGTGGGGCTTTCCAAGGGCGGGCTAGGTGCAGAGTGCAGAGGGTATTTCCAGGGGCTGTGTTGAGTGCCCAGTGCAGAGGGGATTTCCAAGGGCAGGGTTGAATGCCAAGTGCAGAGGGGATTTCGAAGGCAGAGTTAGATGATGGGCATATTCTGGTGACGTAATTTTCAGGCGGGGGAGAGGGATGGGCGTGTCCGAGCTGCTGGTGAGGCAACCAGCCTTACATTGCCCACCTCATCTACCTGGACGATCTGCAATATACCACAAGCCCTTCTCAGAGAAGAACATGCTCCAAAAAACACCTGAGGGACTGGTTTCCTCCCTTTCACCATTTTGACTCATGTTATTATGACTTTGTAGGTGGCACTGAGAAAGCTGATCCAATGGCAAAGCATGAAGTATGTTTGAACAACAACTAAGACTTTCCTCCCCTGAACTGGATCTCTCAGCTGATACAACCATCTTTATTTCTAAACAAGGAGCACTGCCTCCCCTGACTTGATTTTCTAATTCCTGCACCATGCATTGCTATATGTTGAGCCTGCCAGATAACATGATTTGGAGAATTAGATATTGCTGCGAATGTAGTCGATTGGAACAAGCTAGGAAAGGAATAGTTAATACTGCTGAGCTGATGCTAGGCTGAGGAACTGGACTCCTCTACCAGAGAGGAAGGCAGCATAGGGGAAAACATTCGCAAAGGTTAACTTTTAAAGAAGGGCATCCCATTGGTTTGGTGAAGCAATCAGTGTGAGCAAGTGCTCATCAATACCAATGAAGTGGGGACAGAGACCCAAGAAGGAGGTGGAGTCTTTGGCTTACTATGTTCCTGAACACTTAAGAAAAGCCCAGTGGCTGCTGTCATCCAGTTTAAGAAGCCCTGAGCCTTAGGGGCAACAGAGCCAAGAGAAATTTTATCTCAATCATAAGATTTAATTTTCACTGTAACTTCAAGAGGCAGTATGAGAAGACAGAGGCTATGAGAAATTAAGATCTTGCCGAGAGACCCATAGCTTTTGAGAGGAGCAACAGTGATTCACACCCAATTTAAATTCACACGAAAAAGCCATTTTCCCCCAAATTTACTACTCTTTCTAGCCAACATGATTATTGCTTTAGGAAGCAAGTCTTGTGTATGTGTGCGTGCACACACACACATACACAAATAAATATTAATGATTGATTGAACCTGGACATTTGAAAATAAATTGTGAACCTACTTACCTTAAGAAAAGCAATTTATTAGTATATTGGTTTTCTATGTTGGAGATGAGACCGTTCCCTCAATCTGATTTTGGGAAGTTAATTACTATGCACCTTTAGAATGTTGTTATTGCTATTCAATATTACTGCAGATTTCAAGGAATCTGGTAATGCATATGCTTTGTCGAAAGCCTTGAAGTACAAACCCAGTATTTGGGTTTCTCGGGAGTTTCTACATAATTGAAATTATATAAAAAAGCATATAAAGTAGCTGGCTGAGAAAAATTCTATTTATTGGAGTGCAGAAAGAACATTTTAATGTGAAAAGATAATTTTAGGTTAAAGTTTTTAGCCTAGTTTTCTACTTGATAGCAAGAAAATGTTGACCAAGAAGAAAAGATTTGTTAGGGGTTGGCAGTGGGGGAAGAGGACAGGAGACTATAATACTTGATCAAAGAAAGTGGATTATGAAGGGGTCTTTCGATTATGCCCATATTGTTGCTGTCCCTTTGGGAATGCAGCGTGGGGTCTGACCCAGGTAATGGGGTCCCTTACTTGTCTGCTCTATGGCCTGGGTAAGTTCCTTAAACTCTCTCTGCCTCTGCTTCATCACTAGTAAAATGGAGAAAATGATAGCACTATTTCATGGTAAAAACTATATGGGATAATACTTTGGCAGACAAGATTTTTTCCAGGGTCCTGATCTGGCTAGTTAGTGGTACTGGGACTGGAGCTCTGTTAGTCTAATTCCCGAGCTCAGCCCAGATATATTCGTCGATGTATGAACTTTTCTGGTCACATGTCTTTACTGTTTACAAATGTGGACTAACTTTGATTCCACTTGCTGTGTACTAAAATATGCCTAGGATCTACAGTACACATATTTGCATTAGCTCATGATGAATTATAATGAACAAATCCTATGGGACAATCAAATCGAGAAGAAGGCAATGGGCAATGAAGGATAAGGGTGAAGAGAGTGCTTCAGAAGGTTAGGTGTCACAGAGTGATTCAATCAATGTTTTTTGAATGGATCCATAAGTGAATTCCATATATAGAGCTTAGATTGCCAAAGGGATAGAAAATCCCTCAGATATTCCGTTATCAAAGTGTTTGTGCCCCCTTGGGTCATGGCATAGTGGATAAGAGAACAAGAAAATGGGCGGAGGACTCAAGATGGCACTGTGACAACAACCCAGGATTGAAGCTCGTGGTCAATGCGCAGAAGGGGTGAGTCAGGGCCGCATTTCCAGACGGATCTTTGTTGCCCACAGAACGGGGAAATTCCTAGGTATAGAGGAGACGCGGGATGCCAGGCAGAGGTTTTGGCTGGTGCAGCCAGCGGCCGGTGTGGCGGTGGCCCGTGCTGTGGCGGCGCTACACAGCAGTCTGCACAAAGTGCGCTTGTCCGGGTGCCCTGTTGAACCGGCAACCTGAGACTTGAGAGGGCTGAACTTGAGACTGAACAGGACTTGGACAGTGAGCCAGCCCAGGAGATTCCAGGGTGACAGCATTTGGGGTAGCACAGTGGGACAAATAAAACGGCAATTCCAAACGCTCCCTGTGGAGGGGTTCCCTGAGGCCGCAGCTCTGTGGGGGAGGGGCGCCCGCCATTATTGAGGCAAGCCGCCCCTACTGAGGTACGCGCCCATTGCTGACACAGCCTGCCATTGCTGAGGCAACCTGCTACAACAGAGAGACTCTGCTGCAGGGCGTTGCCCGTGGCAGCAGGGCGGAGACCGCAGCAGCAAGGCAGAGCCTGCAGCAACAGGGCAAACCTCACACCAGCAGGGTGGAGCCTCGGCAGGCAAATAGTGACTAGACTGCCTCCTAGCTGGGCAGGACAGCGAGGCGGACACTCACAAGGAAAGCCCCAACCCCCCTCCCCGACAGAGCATCTGAGAAAAAAAGGGTTTTTTTATGAGTTATGTTGCAGCAGAATTAAACATAGCAGCCTAACAGCACTGAATGAACAACAGAGCTCACAGCTCAGCACTTGAGCTCCTACAAAGTACAGACTGTCTCCTCAAGCAGCTCCCTGACCCCTCTACATCCAAAAGACTGACATTTGGCAGGCATCATTCTGGGACAAAGATAGCAGAAAAAGAAACTGGTAGCATCCCTCACTGTTCTGCAGCTGCTATAGGTGCACCCCAGAGAAGCAGGGCCTGGAGTGGACCTCAGCAGTCGTACAGCGAAGGGGCTAGACTGGTAGAAGAAAAACCAAGTAACAGAAATACTTCATCATCAACAATCTGGGTGTCTACTCAGAGACCCAATCGAAAAGTCAGCAACTACTCAGACGACAGGTGGATAAATCCACAAAGATGGGAAGAAACCAGCGTAAAAAGGAGGAAAACACCCAAAACCAGAACACCTCGCCTCCTAGAAAGAACCAAAACTCCTCACCAGCAAGGAAACAAAGCTGGATGGAGAATGACTGACGAAACGACGAAATTAGACTTCAGAAGATGGATAATGAGAAACTTTTGTGAGCTAAAAGAACATGTTTTAAATCAATGCAAAGAAACTAAGAACCTTGAAAAAATATATAAAAAAAGGTTCGAGGAAATGATAACAAGAATGGATAACTTAGAGAGGAATATGAATGAATTAAAGGA